TGAGGGGTGGTTAGGCGCATTATGAAAGTACACAAACAGGGACATCACTGTACGAGGACCGCGACACAATTTCCTGAGTTCGTTATTCCGGCTGGATCTAGGGACATCCAATACACAACCTGTAAACCAGTATGGCTACGACAGATGACTACACGCAAATCCAAACTAAACTGATAAATGAACAACGTATCAGGGAACAACGGAAACCACAAGTGCTAGTTATGAGCTGTCAAAAAGACTTGAAAGATCCACGTGATTATGGACACAACTCATGGCACACAGAGGACAACGGACATCTGTACGTCCCACCTTGGTGAAAAAGGACAACGGAAACCAATCGGATGGTTGGAGGACGCGACACACTGTAGGAGGACGGATGCTCAGTTTTTTCATAAGAGGATCCTTTGCACGATTTGAACTGCGCGAACTGCAAACGGAAAATGATGGAGATTATTTACTCGAGACACATCACGATATTCCTGGGTACCTTGTATCCGAGAGGTGTTTGTACTGAGAGTCGTGGACACACGTTCAGTTTGTGCTATCAAAGTAACTGCGCCGAACCACAACTGGGACTCACACTGTACGAGGAACGCTCGGAGCGAACACAACCCGGTTGTGTACACTGAACAAAGCAGTATCCGACCGGGATGAACTCAGACACTCACCACTGACTTGTGGTTAAATGCTGGGAAGAGAAGCCGGAACTAAAGCAGACGACTACAACTGGGCTAGAGACATGAACCCGAGGACGAAGGAACACTCAGCGCTAGCTCCTGACTAGGACTGCAGAACGGAGGCACTGAACCACGGAAACTGTAAGGAGGAGGATGAGATCACCACTGACTTAAACTGGGACTCTAGATACTGGGACTAAACTGAGGACGCGTACAACTGCGGACTAAACTGGATTTGACACTTGTGGTGTGTTGAGGAGGTGGCAGAATTGAAACGACCACAGCAAAGCTTGGAAACGGTATAGGAACACTTAGCATCATACAGCTGTAATACGTAAAACTGGAAGACACACTGGGTACAATTAACGTCACGAGCTACAAACCCACCGCACAATTTACACACTTTTTTTGTGTTGAAAAACATAGTATATCGCCAGGTGAACAATGTTTTATCGCAACCTCACATGCTCTGGTTTTTGCGTGTGTAGCAGGCATACCTCAGCTGCATGGACTCATGGTCCACCATAGCTTACGCGAGGCTATGGCCACGCTACACGAACAGTCTCACTAGTCAAGCGTGTTAGCGAGTTGACAGCGTGCGACCCAGGATTGAGGAAGTAAAATGAGGAAGAGAAAATTTATTTCTATGAGGTAGCGCCCAAGGGTCAATCAGAAAAACCACGACAACTTCGTAGGAGGGTACGCTGCTGGGTCAGCTGCAGATTTATTATAGTTCCTGCATTGGTAGGTGGAGAGCTGGTGACAGAACTGATCAACACTTGCTCATGGCACCTACAAGATCAAATCAGCACCATGAGACTAAGCATGTTGTGTTCTCACTATGAATTGAGATTCTTGGTTGTATTTAAACTTTAGAGACTGCTCAGTGATTTCGCTCAGTTTTGGTAAAATAAACTGAGAGTTCAGCCGACAAGTTACAGATGACGAAAAGGGTTAACAGATTTCAGCAGCAATTAGCATACGTACAAATTGTCTCATACAACTTCCTTATAAGGGCAGCAGGTTATGGTTCTGTCGGCAGCCGGACAGAAGCCTGCTCTGCCCTTTGCTTTTTATCGAGCTGCGCCTTCGAGTGAGAGTGTGGTTTTTGCATTTGAATAACACTCTGTGCGCTCGAGTGATAAGTGAAAGTGATTTAATAGAATCAGTTTTAAATCAGGCACTACTTATGTAAGATCATTAAACATTTCACTAATATTTTTAGACCCTTCAGAAAGTATGTATCTTTGCGTTCTCTCTTCATGAGCATCTGTTATAGAAAAAGATAGAGTTTTAATAGTAAATTTCATAATTTTTGTTTGGGTGAAGTTACCTGCGCATATTTCATAGCATAGTATGGTGACTATGGGGTTTGTAGAGCACCTGTGTGAATCACGGACTTTTATATAGCACCATGGTCTTTTGGGAAGACGCATGGAGGTCAGATTGAGCACAGTATACTCACTGCTGAATAAAACTCTACCATAATTTCGGACGCACTAGGTCTAATAAAAGGTTTATCGATAGTAACGGCTTTAAACACTTTGAAATCTATGATGTTCAGTAAGAACCTTTACTACAGAGACCCATTTTGCAGGCATCTAGCCTTAGACGCCACAGTCCAGAACGCTCTACTTCCAGCAAGAATGGACATGACAGACACAACAACTCAACATTTGTCTGGGCTGTATTCGCTTCTTTTCCAAAGGACTGTGTGATAGTATGTCCATGTCGTATAGAGCTCCTGTGGAGTTACTTCCTTAAGCTCTCACTTTTGGTCCGTAATGGTTCCTTGTCTTTTCTTCTGTCCTCTCACTTTTTAAAAGTCCTGGGTCCTATAAGGTCTATAACCCTGACACATTGCAACTACCAAGTCGAGGAGATGCAGGAGGACCGGATCGCAGCACTGGGCCCATGCACTGGCACCCTGGGGCAGGGCCCAGCACCTGCCCTGCGTTTGCCCATCACTGCACTCCAGGACCATCTTTCCTCCCTTCATGTCTGGGCTCCGCGGCAGTGCTACGCGGTGGGTTTTTGTCGGTCTGTGTATAACCTACAGTTGTGGTTCACAGTCCGTGGCTCTTGTTATATTAGGATATTTGTTGTGAGATTTCGTCGCTATCCGTAGAGAAAATGGGATTTTTTTTTCACGCGTTTTTTGATTCTCGGAATAGAACACAAAATTTCTGTGATCTTCTGAATGCCTGAAACGTAGACAGGAAAAGACCATTGAAAATGGCTCAAGTAAGTAGTCTAAGCTTTGAATCTAACACACTTATGACTGGACTGAAACGCAGAGGACTAACACCAGGTAATACAGACATATCCAGTGAACTGAACAGGATGAAGCTCAAAAGGACTGGGATTACCAGGACTACAACTCGCAGTAAAGACTTAGTAGAGCCAGGACTCTATTTCGATTGCACTGTTAGACTAAGATGCACCAGGGGCTACGAAACAAAAGGCATACTGAAGGCAATCAGATTAATAGATTTGCCTCCAGATTGAAATAAGTTTCTAACCAGAGAAGATTGATTCTCATGGTACATAGTACTGCAGACTCATATCCAAGAGACACAAATCCTAGTGAGACTAAACGCTCAGTGACTAATCCAGAGAGACTAATGTCAGTGAGCTGCGATATTCCAGGACATTGGTGTCTCATCGCGGTTTGCTAGGATACGTAACTAATTTGAAAATGTCGCTCACTCTGCAGATAGTGATTTGTAGTTTCTGTACATATCATTCGCTACTGTGTCTGGTGAGTAAACTCGTCTTCTCTTTGATCAGACTCACGGTGAAGTTAGCTCCAGAGACCTGCAGCAGCTTAGGGCATCAATGTTTAAGGCTTGTGGGTACTTCGCACGCTAAACTCTCACACTGCATGCTAACTTCCCAGAATTCTCGTCAGAATTTTTTTCTGCTTCAGCAAAATGAACTGCTATTTCAGAGTACAGCTGGACATACGACCCGCAAATGATCTTGTACTGCCAACCGGAGCAATATAAATGCGTTAGTGTCGATGCCTGTGTGTAGTTGTGCTTCAGATAGGTGACTGTTGTGTAGACTACTAACATATTATATAATAATAGAACAAAATAAAACAACAAAAAACAACAAAAAAAACAAAAATGGTATTAAGTGTTTAGAGCTAGATGTGGATCAATAACTCGAGAAACATGTTAATGTACTCCAAAATGGACAAGATTCAGCTGTAGGGTGTTGCTAGAGAGATGTAAAGGACCAATACATTTGTCGTGCACTACAAGGATGTAGGGAAATGTTATATCTACCTATAGTATACAACAGAGGACTAGACTTCAGGACTCTATATAAACTATCATGTCAACTCGGAAATTATACTAAACCTAGGACTACATCAGGACTAAACCAAGACTACATCACTTCCTAAACAAGACTACATCGAGGTACTAATACATCCATAGGACTAGAAAACTATATGTACTAAACAGGCTATCATTATTAGATAATTTAAACACTAGATTATTCAAAATGTCTCTGACAGCTAATTCCTGATTGCACCTCCAACGCAAGAAGGGTGAATATGACAGTTCTAATTGTTCTATTCTCGTTTGTGCTCACAACAAAGAACAGGATAATATATTGCGTGATTTTGGTTGGAATTTTGATTTCTGGTTTAAAATCAGTTAATAATCCAAGAGTCAGATTAAGTGTTTCCTCGTAGTATTTACTTTGTCAATGGCAGATAATAAAATTTTGGGACTAGGCAAATGTGAGAGTTCTTGTTTCTGCGCATCATTACACCATACGTATTTTTTGCTCACTGAACACTCAGGCATACACAAGTACTTGACGCACTAGATGTTCCTAGGTTTAGAGTTTAGAAAATCTGCTCCCTCCACGTCTGACAGCGCGTTACTCAGAGTTGACGACCTGCAGATTCACCAGAGACATTTATGTATCCTGTTCTTAGCAAATCTTCAGTCTGACACTCAGGGAAACAAGACAGCGAGTTAGTAGGCACTACACGTGCGGGATACACCGCTAGTGGAGACAGGGAGGCTGGGGGGCATCGGCACTGGGAGCGTACTCCTCAATTGGGCTACCACGGGTTCATCAGCTGTGCCAGCCTCACAGAGGCGCAGTCGACACAGGGCAGAGTAGCCGTGGACGGAAAGCACGCCGTTCCCGAAAAGCCATCCGCGCGCCCAGCTGGAGCCAGGTAACGACACGGCTAAATGTCTCTGAGAATACCAGACTAACAAAATCTAATGAACTGACAACATAATTGTAAGTACTAGCAGGATTTTGACGTATATCCGGTGAAGGTCACGTGTTTCCGGTCTGGAGTGGCGCTCTACTTTCCCCATGTGTCTGCAGCCAGAACCTCTCGGCTAAAGGCGAATCTGGGATCATGAGACATTGAGCTCGGTCCGTTGACTTGAATGGGCGGCCATTCTGGAGCGTGGCCTGTGCTCTGTCAGATATGTGCGGTCGGAGGTGAGTCTGGTTCAGACATGGGTCCTGGCTGCAGCTCGTGGTGGAGGCGGCTCCTCCTCGTACTCGCCCTGAGCCTGGGGGCCTCTGCAGACCCGTGAGTACCAGATGCCCTCCCAGCCTCCTCCCTGTGTGTCAGATGCCCTCCCGTCTTGTTTCCCTGAGTGTCAGACTGAGGTGGAGCAGGTCAAATGTCTCTGGTGAATCTGCAGGTGTTTTGTCGTGTCAGACGTGGAGGGAGCAGATTTTCTAAACTCTAAACCTGGACACAGTCGGGTTTGGATGTTTGGTGTAAATAAAATAGTGAGAAGAGCGAGAAACATTGTGGATTCTCATGTCAGTCATGATCTGAGGAACTTCTGACACTGGATTTTTTGATTTATGATCATTTACAAATACGATTTTCTGTTTTTTGGCAAAACAAAAGACAATTTATGCTCCTGTTTACTGTTGGAGGGATCAGATTAGTCAAACATTTTGATAGTTCTGGTTTAGACCTGATGTAGTCCTGGTTTAGTCTTAGTTTAGTCCTGGTTTAGTCCTGATGTAGTCTTGGTTTAGACGTGATGTAGTCTTGGTTTAGTCCTGATGTAGTCCTGGTTTAGGTTTAGTTTAGTTCTAGTTTAGAGCTGATCTAGTCCTGGTTACTTGTGGTTTAGACCTGAGTGCCCTTGGTCCTCTCTCTCTGTAACAGCTGCTCTGATCTTTGTCATTTTGGTCTTAAAATGTTCGGTTTAACCCACTCTACATAATCCTGTTTTTTTGTTTTGTTTTGTTGTTGTTGTTTTTTTTGCTGTTTTGTCATTTATAATGATGTGTAGTCAGTTCCTGGTGGTGCTCCCTGCGGTGGTGGAGTCTGGGAGTACGGTGAAGTTCTGCATGAGTCTGCTGCAGGTCTCTGAGGAGCTGAACTTCACCGTGAGTCTGATCAAAGACGAGAAGACGAGTTTACTCACAGACACAGTGGACGACGACACAAACACCTGCAGGACATTTCAGGTACTGCACCCTGAGACTGTCCTGGTTTAGTCCTGGATTAGTCCTGGTTTAGTCCTGGTTTAGTCCTGGTTTTGTCTTGGATTAGTCCTGGTTTAGTCCTGGTTTAGTCCTGGTTTAATCCTGGCTTATTCCTGGTTTAGTCCTTGTTGAGTCCTGGTTGAGTCCTGGTTGAGTCCTGGTTTAGTCCTGGTTTAGTCCTGGTTGAGTCCTGGTTTAGTCCTGGTTCAGTCCTGGTTTAGTCCTGGTTTAGTCCTGGTTTAGTCCTGGTTTAGTTCATGTTTCTTTTGTTTTTCAGGCTCCTGTTGTTGAAGATTCTGAAATCCAGAATTTTGAGTTTGAAATCAAAGGAAAAAACTTTCAACGATTGGAAACTCACAAAATTCAAATCAAGAACCACGGACTGAAAACGTTTATCCAGACCGACAAACCCCTGTACCTGCCCGGGCAGACAGGTGAGTGTCAGGTGCAGGAGGAGGCGGCAGGTGCTGGGCCTGTCAGGGAGGAGGCTGTGGCTTCGACTCCTGATCTCTGAGTGGAGTTTGCATGTTCAGGTTTAGACTAAACCAGGACTAAAAAAGAAAAAAAAACAGGACTAAACAAAGAGTAAAGTTTAATCCAGGACTAAACCAGAACTAAACCAAGACTACACCAGGACTAAGTGTTGTTTTTCTTGCAGTGCATTTTCGAGTGGTGACGTTGGACTCTAAGCTGAGACCTGCAAATGGTTCGGTGAGTTTTGAAACGATCAGTTTAAAGCCGCACTATGTAACCTTTAGAGCTTGTCTCCATGGAGATTTTATTGCATTATATGTTCCATCTGACCTCTGACTTGACCTGGCGGTGTCACGTGCTCACATATGTACGACACTGATACCAGGCTGAGCAAAAAATAGATTTTCTAAAACTCAATTTTTAAAGAAATGCAAGAACAAATAAGATTTTGAGGACTAAAATATTAGTGAAATGTTTAATGATCTTGACGATAAGTAGTGCTGATTTAAACTGATTTAAACACTTTCACTTTCACACCACAGTGATGATAAAACCAACAGTGAGGCCTGTGAAAAGACGCTCGTCCTCGGAGCAAAGGGTGAATTATAAGAGTAAACGAAGTCCGAGTTAGTGCTGTCGTTGTTGTCGCTGCTGTCGGGCTGAACTCTCAGTTATTTTACCAAACTGAGCGTCCACACTAAATGTTAAATGAAGATATCAAAGAGGAAACACAAATGTCTTTCCTGTGATTATTGAGTGTTAGAGTTTTAAGTCTCTGCAGAGCCTCCACACCACAGAACTATAATAAAATCTGCAGCTGGACCCACGGTGTGTCGTGTTGTTTTAGTGACCTGGGCTCAAAAATAATTTTCTCTTCCTCATTTACTTCCTCAATCCGGGCGAGCTCCTCTAACCTGTTTAACGTCTGTAACGTGCACAGCCTGGAGCGTTTGGACCAATCAGAGCGAGAGCTGCTACACAGCAAAAAACTGGAGGGATAAAATTTCAGGGTAGGACTTGTTTTCAACACAAAAAAGTGTTAAATGGGGGTTTGAGTTGGAGTTATTTGTCAGAGTTTATATGACTGAAGTTAATTTAACTTCTTCTGGTGTTAATTTGACACCTCCCACACACATTCAATCCAGTTTAGTCCCAGTTTAGTCCCAGTTTAGTCCCAGTTTAGTCCCAGTTTAGTCCCGGTTTAGTCCCGGTTCAGTCCTGGTTCAGTCCTGGTTCAGTCCTGGTTCAGTCCTGGTTCAGTCCTGGTTCAGTCCTGCTTTAGTCCTGCTTTAGTCCTGGTTTTGCCCACATCACATCAGTGATGTTATTCATCCGGGATACTGATGTGTGTTACACACCGGTTGTTCGCCATATCCCAGTTGTGGCAGTATTTGGGACACTGAAACCGGGACACTCAAAAAACCTGATCGTACCCAGAATACTGATGCATAAAGAATCTCACATTTCTGGTCATTGCGCAGTCCAAACTGAGAAGGATCCTCTGAAAAAGTGAGCATCAAACCTCCATGTTTGTTTTCCCAGTGGGATGTGTTTATTGTCAAAGTGGATCTTTTCAAGTCTTTTGAACCATATCACTTTTGTTTCTGGTTCTGATATTGTCATATTTTAGTTTTGGGATTCGGACATCGTAATTGTTGTGGTTGTTGGATCCTAACAGCGGAAAACGACTCCAGAAATGTGTTTGTGATTTCCATAAATGCAAAAGGGAATCAGACGTGTGTGACTCAAACCTCTGTTCAAACTGTTTCTCTTCCCAACGGAATTGAAAAATAGTGAAAGGTGAAGGTGATGGGCAGGATTGATCCACAGGAAGAACCAAAAAGGAAAACTTTGACTGTCTCAGAAATCATCCCGAGTTTACAGAGAACATTTTGTATGTGGAGCGACAACAAAACAAAATCCTGATCCCTCACTCAACCTCAGCTGCGAATTTAAAAAGTCAACGCCAAAGTGAAAGGCTCCAACTGTTCACCAAAAAACACCTTCCACTGCAAAGAGACCAAGACGTGATGTTTCTGTAAAACCACAAGAACAAGAAAGTGCAGCTCAGTCTGTTTGTCTTCTGCTCCTCTCCATTAACAAACAGGATTTTGTTTTGTTGTCGCTCCACATACAAAATGTTCTCTGTAAACTCAGGATGATTTAGGCAGCCAAAGTTTTCCTTTTTGGTTCTTCATCAAAATCCCAGAGTGTCTTTTATTTGTCGATTACAGTCAGTGAACAAACTTCAGTCAATTGATTTATCAATAGGTGAAGCTTTATAGAAAAGTTAGTTTGTAAAAAAAAATCTTTAATCCTTGAAAGGTCCTTTGTGTGGAATACTGATGCACGTGAACACACTGAAAAAACTGTTTTGGTTAAATTCATTTTTCTGTTAAAAATCAGTTTTAACGTCCTCTCTTCTTATTTTACAGTATGAACTCGTGGAGATGAAGGTAAAACACACACACACACACACACACACATACGCTGTCTGTATAATATTTGTGGTACTTTCAGGATTACCGTGGTAACCGTGTGGCTCAGTGGTTGGAGCAAAGTTCGTCTGGGAGGATCCTACAGTTGACCTTTGACCTTGACCCTCATGCCGTAGAGGGAACCTACTCTGTGTCTGTGAAGGTCAAAGGTCAGAGGCACCCCGTCACTCACACATTCGTGGTGGAGAAGTACGGTGAGGATACTACGAATAATACTGCCAATACTACTATTATTATTACTACTACCACTACTGCTACTTCTACTTTCTATCTTTAAAATGTTCTTTCTTTTTAGTCTTTGCCACATTAGTTTTCCCCAAACCTGCAACGATCAGACACAAACACAACACCGACAAACACCGACACCGACAAACACCGACAAACACAAACAACAACACACAAACACAAACGACAAACACAAACACAACACCGACAAACACCGACAAACACCGATATTCACAGATATTCACAGATATTCACAGATATTCACAGATATTCACAGATATTCACGTGAACAGAAAGAGCTCTGATTTATCTGAACTACAACAGGTGAGTAGATTTGTGCTGTTAAACAAAAAAACTCTCTCAAATAACAAGACAGTCACAAGCTAACGTTAGCGCTAGTGTTAGCATTAGCGTTAGCATTAACCAACAGTTTTTCAGTAAACAACGTCCTGAAATGCCCTGATGAAGGATAAACATAACTCCTGATTAATGCTTTTCTGTGGCTAAATGTGTGTGTAAATGTTCGTTGGATTCTCCATCAGCTTCATAAATCTGCTTAAATAACCAAATCTTCAACCAACAAGCTCCACAAAGGATAAACATTTTACCAAGAAGAATTTATCCACAACTATCAAGAGAAGAAAACCAAAACTTCAAGGAAATAACAACCACACATTAGTGAACTACTGAGCAAAACTAACATTATGATCATGAATAAAACAGAAGGAACTTGTTCACTCAGACTGATTCTACAATTAAAATGAAAAATTGATTTCATGAGTTAGATGTTAACATAGATATATAGATTTGTGCAGTTTAAATGCCACAGATGTTCACAGATTATGTCTTGCATTTAAACTGCACAAATATATGTTAATATGAAGTAGCCTGATTCATCTGCCGGTTTCACTTTGCAGCATTAGAATTCGTTCACTCGACGGTAGGCAGGTACTTTTTTAAAATTTAACCAATCGCTGCTGTTTGGTCGTGACGTATATAATGCTCCAAATCCCGTAGGAAGAAGGACAATAACGTCTTTCCCCTTGATAAAATTCACCAAATATTCTCTTTGTTCTGCCTTTAAATCCTCGATCTGGGGAATTGTTGCCAACACAGAATGTCTGTCTTCATCTACATCCATCTCGACGCTTTATTTACTGTTGTGTTGTTACACAAAAGGGACACAGACAGACGCCACGAGTTTGATGTCATGGCTTCACAGCTCACAGCTGATTGACCGGTGCGCGGTCTGCAACTTCCCAGGCTCTTGTAAACCGTCTAGTGCAGGGGTTTCCAACCTGCAGCTCAGGAGCTACCAGTAGCTCTCCACCTCCTTCCAAGTAGCTCGCTAAAGGATTTCTGAATTATACATATTGTGATGAATAACTCAGATTTGATCAACTACCATTGTTAATGTATTATTTTGATGCCTAACTTTGTGCACTAAAATGTATATGTTTTATAGGTACAGTATCTAACTCTTCCCCATCTAAGGCTTTCCTGTGCTCAGTTTCTTGACAGATAAAATCAGTAGCTCATTGGCATTTTCTTTTTGTGAAGGTAGCTCACCAGAATAAAAAGGTTGGAGACCTCCTGGTCTAGTGTATTCTGATTCCTGACCTAGTCTGGAGAGAAATCAAATTGAGCAGAGGCACTAGGTGGCACCAGCCTGGCTAAATATCAACATCATGAAAATGATTTTTAATTTTAATTCTAGAATCAATCTGAGTGGAAAAAGTTACTTATTAATAAATTACTTCTGTTTAATTCATGACCATAACGTTAGTTTTGCAGAGTAGTTCACTATTGTGTTGTTGTTGTTACCCTTTACGTTGTCGTCTTTCTTCCCCTTAATAGTTGTGGATAAATTGTTCATGAAAAATTTTTATCCTTTGTGGACCTTGTTGGTTGAAGATTTGGTGATGGGGAAGATTTATGAAGCTGCTGGAGAAAACGACACACATTTACACAGATAATTTGCCACAGATAAACATTAACTGGGAGTGACATTTACTCGACATCGTGGCACTTCCGGCTGTTATAAGAGAGATACATGTAGAACACCCTCAGTGTGAGTGATTTTTCACTTTTTTTTTCTAGTTTCTGCCAAAGTTTTCTGTTGAAGTGGAGGCTCCAGATGAAGTCAGCATCGCTCTGGAAGAACTCTCCTTTAAAGTGTGTACAAAGTGAGTCAGATGCCCTCCCTGTGCCTCAGATGCCCTCCCTGTGCCTCAGATGCCCTCCCAGATGTTGTTGTGGTTGGATAATACAGTTGTACATGATTGTTTTCAGATACACGTTTGGTCAGTCGGTGCCAGGGCAGGTGGAGGTCAGTGTGTGCAGAGACTTTAAACCACAGAGATGCAGCCCAAGTCCAAAAGTAAACACCCCTGTGTGCCACAAAGAAGTACAGGAGGTATATAATAGTACTACTACTATTACTATTAACTACTACTACTACTACTGCTGTTATTACTACTACTGCAGCGAAAGTATTTTAATTTGTAGGTGCCCAAAGATGGCTGTGCGTCCTTCTCCATTCCAACATCTCAGTTTAAAAACATCTCCTGGATGGAAGCTGCATACAGCATAAACGCCATGATGATCGAAGAGGGAACAGGTACCTCAAACTACCATTACTACTTATTATTACTATAATTTATTGTTTATTTGAACAGGGACAGATCCACAGACACAGATGAACACTGCAGGGATTTGTTTACAGCCAAATACAGTACAGTATAGTACAGTACAGTGTAGTACACTGTAGTACACTGTAGTACTATACTATAGTACAGTGTCTAGTACACTATAGTACAGTGTAGTACACTATAGTACAGTGTAGTACAGTGCAGTGTAGTACAGTGTAGTGCAGTAGAGCCACAGTGTCACAGTGGTGAGACGCACACAGAGGATCACAGCTGCAGGGTTCGTGTCGGACCAGATCGCTGTGAGGGGAGCAATTCTTAGTCCAGTTATTTAAACTGTGGTTTGAACCTAAACCTGATCCTTTTCCTCAGACCTGAAGCAGTCTGTGACGCAGAAGATCAAGATCTCCTATGAAATTGGGAAAGTGGAATTTGTAAATCCTCCCAAAAGATACAACCCTGGTGAAGTACTGGAGCTGCAGGTACTTTTACTCACTCAAACTGACGTTATTATTGCTGGTTTATTACAGCTGGTTTAAATGTGTTTCTGTGCAGGTGAAGGTGGTGCATTATAATAACACACCGGTCTCCCACACTGAGGTCCATCTGATCACAGACCGGTACGTCGAGCTCCAAAAACTGAAGACTGACCAGGACGGACACGTTACCTTCAGCTTCAACACCAGCTCCTACTCAGGCTCTGTCGGTCTGAAGGTGGGTCCAGAGGAAGTCCTGGTTTAGTCCTGGTTTAGTCCTGGTTTAGTCCTGGTTTAGTCCTGATTTAGTCCTGGTTTAGTCCTGGTTTAGTCCTGGTTTAGTCCTGGTTTAGTCCTGGTCAGAGTCTGGTCAGGACTTGGATGGGAGATTACTGGGAATACAGGTGCCACAGGTGCAAACTGCTGTTGTGTCTTCAGGCAAGACACTTGACCCACATTACCTAGTATGAATGTGGTGTGTGTGAGTGTTGGTGGTGGGAGGGGCCGATGGTGCAGATTGGCAGCCTCTCTTCTGTCCGTCTGCCTCAGGGCAGCTGTGGTTACCTTAGTTACTTGACTCCATTGAGTGTGGAGTGAATGAAGAATGCACAAAATCACAAAGTAACTTTAGTGTCTGAGAAAAGCAGACCTGCAGTCACCAGGTCATATGGAGCGAGTCCTGAGCCTCAGATGCAGCGGTGAAAGTGGATTTGTATTTGTCGTTCTGTAAAATGATCTACTGAGACCTTTCTCAACACTTTTATAGTGGCTCCTGTGTGTTATTGTGTTATTTTGTGGGACACTTATTTCTTTGTATTGATACTTTGCAGTGGCATCATGTTGGGGGTGTTCTGCCTGTGCACCTATGGTGGATTGTTCAGCAGTTACCATGGTGACCCTGTGCACATATTAGCAATAACAACCAAAAAGAATTTTCAGTAAAAATACAAAATGGATTTAAACTAGTGTAACCAGACTTCCCCATTTACCCGGGACAGTCCTGTGTCCAGCAAATTTATACAAAACCAGTGATTTGTCCAGTTTTATGCAAGAAATGTCCCAGGTGTATTTTGGACCAATCTGATCCCTGCCAACAGTAAAGGTAATTTGTTTAGGTAAAATACAGAAAAGCTGCTTAAAATGATCAAAAACACAAAGTTAATCTGACTATACTGACTCACGTTAGAGTCGCGTGCAGAATCATTTTGCTTAATTACGCACTTGATTCACAATTTCATTATTACCAACCACCACGAACCAAGAATGTTCCAGTTTTTATTTTGAAAATCTGGTCCCACTACTTTGAACAGCACATTTTCAGGAGCCTGTGATCAGTCTGAGCATTCGTGGTCCTGTTTTATACTTTTAAAACATAAAGTTAAAGTGGAACAGTATGTTTGAGGGATTGTGAGTAAAAACATTGATAAACTCTGCTTTAAACTACTCAAAAACCCCTGTGTCTCTCCTCCACAGGCCAGTCTGTATGAACATGACAGGCACAGTCACTTGGAGCCTCACTTCATCACTGCGTCTCTACGGCTGCAGGAGATCAAACCCGTCTGCCTCCGCAACAGGACCACCAGTTCTCTGGAGGTCAAGGGGGAGGACCGGACCCTGGCGTGCGGGGACAAAGAGAGCTTCACTGTGGGCTACTCCATCGTGGGCGAGGGTCAAGGGACCATAACCATCATCTACCTGGTGAGTGTGAGACCCTCACACCTCACTGGGTCACAGTAACACGACACACAAGTGAGATGTGTTCCTGAAGTACACCACGGTCAGTGAGAGGATTTATTATGTCAGGTAAAAGAAGATTTGAGAAACTGTGAGAGCTGTGGTTGGACCACAGTCGGGTGGATTTACATCACAGCAAAAATGACAGTGCACACAGTAAACAGGGAGAACTGTCTTTTTGTCATTTTTATATGTTAAGTTGTGTAGAAAAAGTCCATCCATCCAGTTTCTTCTGCTTATCCGAGACTGGATCGTGGGGGCAGTAGTCTAACAGGGACTCCCAGACTTCCTTCACCCTGGACACTTCCTCCAGCTCAACACTCGGTCCTCACAGCTCATCAGACTGAAAGTTCCTAAGTCCAGGTCCTGTCTTGGCTTCATGTCATTTCGATGTGCCACTGCTAATGATTGGAATTTGGCTCAAAGCTCACTTAAACTGGACTCCTTCATTTCTCTTTCTGCTTTTAAATGTAAACTGAAGGTAATTTTTAAAGACATGTGTAAATGTTTTACTAATGAAACGAAAGGAGATTTTTAGAGACTGATGTAAATGTTTGTTTTATGTTTTAATGAATGATATTGGTTGTCTAATAGACCATTATCACGCTTCCGGGTTTTGTGGGCGGGGTTTATCTACTTTGTGAACTTCCACTTCCGGTGCAACAACAACAGCGGCTCAAACGATGTCTATATGTCACTGCTCTTTTTAAATTATGAAATAATCAGCAGGATCAATGCATATTCTTTGTAAATACTTTGTAATAGCTTTATAATTGGCAAAAGAAGTTACTGGGACCAGTTAAAGCTCCACAGCGGGAGCAGGACAAATGTATCAGACACAAAAAGGAGGAAAAAAGTCCGCTTCAAACAGGTGTTCTCGCTCTGTCTTTTTTATTTTCTCAAAGCATCGTGAAGTCCATTGAAGTCTGAAACATCACGGTGCTTCACATCACAAAACACCGAGAAAGTCTGATTAAAGCCGACTTTTTTCTGCTTTACGTGCTAGCAAAAGAGACACTTGTATGCCGACGTTAGCTGACTGAAACTGAGAGGCGAACGTTCTTCCTCTCAGAACACAAATGACATGGGGGAATTTACTTAGCCTCATTTAAAAATGAATACTCTTGCTTTTGTTGGGTATGTTGGGTAAACGCCTTATATCCATACACCAAACTGACGTTAGCATAAGCTAACCCTCCTGTTCTAAAGCAGAGGCAACCCTGTCCCGACATACAGACACTCCAACACACCCGCACTCTGTCATACCGTCATTTCAACAACCCTCCACCCCGACATGCCCCCATTCCGACACCAATGAACCTGGACTAAACCAGGACTAATCTTGAATGAGAGAGAGAAAAAGAGACAGAACCGCCATCCTGTATTGGAGGGTATTTGGTGTAAAGCTCTGTGCCATTAGAGCGCAGAGTTTTACGCACGCTGCTCTGTTGGCACGAGAGGAGCCACATACACCTGACCTCCTGCAGGTGAGAGCGCGTGGAGGTGCCAGGTTAACGAGTGCGTAAAAGTCCGCAACTTTAAGTGCGGCACGAGGAGAATGAGCGCTGCAACCGCCTCTGTATAAACTTTTATGAGGTTATAAACTTTAATGAATGTATAAGGGACCGACGCATTTCTGGGTCCCTGTGTAAGCCGATCTGTCCTCTATGACCAGGTATAATTCTAATCTTTTAGCCCTTATTCATGAAAATATCCAGATTCCTAAATCATTGATCTTTT